ATATATATATATATTTATATGTATATATATGTATATAGAATATGTATATGTATACATGTATATATATATATATATATATATATACATATATATATATATATATATATATATATATATATATATATATATGTATATAGAATATGTATATGTATACATGTATATATATATATATATATATATATATATATATATATATGTATATATATATATATATATATATATATATATATATATATATATATATATATATATATATATATATATATATATATATATATATATATATATATGTATATAGAATATGTATATGTATACATGTATATAAAATATATATAAATTCTGTTTTTGTGCTCTCATTTGGAGGAGACTATAAATTGTCATAAAATATTTATTATGAATATTATAATTATTGTTTTAAATATTTTTTATGATTAATAATAACACAGGTCTACAAAAAATTTATTGTATTAAATTTGACACTTGCTCTTACATAATTTTGATAAGCTGAGTTGAAATCTGGCATCAGATTTTTATAGAAAGCTAAAGATTTTTTGCAATAAATGTTTTTTAATTTTGCAAAACATTAGAATTAGTTCTAAAATACAGATTTAAAACTCATTTGGAAATGCAAGGATATATTTTTTACAATAAAAGTTGTTTACAAAATTAAAACCAAAAAAAGAAAACAGATGAAAATAAAATGAAAATTTTATAAATATCCAAGTCCTAGCAATGTTATTAACTCTTTATTGATTAATAACAAAATCATGTTTTACTTTAGTTTTAAAAAAGAATGCAGATTATATTATTTAGTTAAAACTGTTTAATTAGGAAGAAACTTTTGCTTGTTGCTCTTTTGTTTGCAAACTTTTCCTGAGTCTTCTTGCTTAATGCCCCAACAGTAGTCTGCCATCATGTATATGTCCCAATGTCCTAGGTAATGATCTTCAATTGATTTAAAAAATTGAAGAAGCTGCTCTCCTTGCTCTTTACTCACATCTCCAAGATTTTCAGGAAACTGGTCAAGATGACTATTTATATAATGAAGTTTTATACTTATTTTGCATCCAAGATCACAAAAAGTTTTCAATATTTTATCAACTAAATCTAAATAGTTTTCTGCTTTTTTATTTCCAAGAAAATTTTTTACAACAATCACAAATGACAACCAAGCCATTTTCTCTTTGATATTCATTGCTTTAATGAATTATTTATCTTTTATAAGATTGCAAATTTGTGGCCCATCAAAAACTTTTGCCTTTTTTTTCTTTATTGACAAACCTGGTAATGATGTAACTATATACTGAAAACTATCACTATCAGTTTTTAGTGCTTTAACAAATTGTTTCATGAATCCAAGTTTAAAATGGAGTGGTGGAAAAACTATTTTATTTCGACTAACAATGTTTTCATTTACAATATTGTTATGCTCGCTGTGAGAGTCTTTTGAATGAGCCATTCTTTTTGTATCCAGTGTTGATTTCTTGCTTGACTGTCCCATATACAGAGATAAAAGGAAACTTTGTAAAACCTTTCTGCTGACAAATTTGAAGGTTAACCATTTTTAGATAAACACAAATAATCAAGTTGTGTTTGTGATATTTAATCAAGTTATGCACCATTTTAATGTCATCATAAGTTTCTTGCAAATAAACAGAATGACCAATTGGTACAGATAATCATTTTGCACAATAAAAAATATTTCCATTGTGCAAAATGATGCATTTAAGGCTTCGCTTTGAGCTAGTGATAAAAAGTCTCCATTCTGTTGGATTATATACAGAAATACCAAACTGTAATAGGAGACCTGAAGTATCATGACAGTAAACAAATAAGTTGACTACTGAAAAAAAGTTAACAAAAATTTCATCTTTTATTCTAAAGTAAGAAACTTTTGCAAAGCTATTGAGTAGGTTTTTTTCCTTTAAACATGACACTAATACTTCTGCAAAGAAGTATTAGCGTCAGAAGGTCAACATTCCTTCTTACACTAATACTAAAGTATTAGGGTAAGAAGGAATGTTGGGATAAACTATTATTTGCTTCTTTATTTTGCCAATACCAATAGTATCAACAAGACTAAAATAGCAGTCGTCAATGTGAATTAGTGGTTCCCTCCAAACCATGGGGACTCCAAAAGGTAAATTCTTTCTTTTTCATTATGTCCAATCTTGAAGACTTTCTTCACAAATATTGATTGCCAAGTTTAATATCGAAATATGTTTTGTATGCTAGTTACCACAGATATAATAGAATGACAGATATAACAGAATGAGTTTAGATTATGCTTGCGCTTATGTGGACTTGAAGAAGCCATCATATTATATATTTGATCTAATAAAAACAATGACATGGTTACTTTTTTTAAAACTATTGAATACAAATACCTATGATGTGTATGATAAATAACTAAAATCATAATTAAAAAATAATAAATAAATTGGTTATTGCAAAAAAACTAGAGCTTGCCAACAAAAACAGACCTTATATTTGGATTCAGCATTTAAAAATACATAAAAATCAGTTTAAATATCTCATGCAACAGGAAAAAAGTTTTTTGTAGACCTGTGTAATTATTATTATTATAAATATACAAATAATCATTATAAAAATTATCATTTATTATTATTTTTTTTAATATGCATTTTTACAACCTTTGTTTTTTTAAAAATGAAATATACAATTATTTTAGGCCGCTATATATATATATATATATATATATATATATATATATATATATATATATATATATATATATATATATATATATATATATATATATATATACATATATATATATATATACATATATATATATATATATATATATATATATATATATATATATATATACATATATATATATATATATATATATATATATATATATATATATATATATATATATATATATATATATATATATATATGTATATATCAACCCTCGGAATTAGGGTCGGCATTCTGCAATGCCGACCTAACTGCTAAAATTGCCAACCTCGTTTAGATGTTTTATGGTTAAACCTTTGTATTAAATTTTTTTAGCCCACCTCTAAAAGATTGAGGTCGGCAAATTATTGCCAACCTTTATTTTCCTAATTCTAAGGGTTGATATTTATATATATATATATATATATATATATATATATATATATATATATATATATATATATATATATATTATGTATATATATATATATATATATTAAGGTGCATTAAACGCCCCATATATTCAAAAATTGTTCTGTCCCTATTCTTAAAACTTTCTATTGGTTCTCACAAGACTCTGTTAAATTTTTTTAAAATTGAATGAGATTTAGGGGGGCCACCTCAAGTCTGAAACTTGCAACTAGACCCTAAACATAAGAAAAAGTTTTTCAAATGTATGTCATGTTGGATCTCAAAAGAAAAATTTTATAAAAATTTCAAAAATAATAAAAATTTTACACAAGAATTATTATTCTAATTTTAATTGCATAAAAATTGTCATTTTTAAACAAAAAAATTAAAAAAAAACAATTTTTTATGGTTTTTGTCTAAATTTTTTTTTCAAGTATTTTGATAATTATTTTTGATAAAATTTCGCTTCTTTTGAGACCCAACATGACATACATTTTAAAAACTTTTTTTTTTCTTTGTAGGGTCTTGTTGCAAATTTCAGACATGAAGTGGCCCCCCTAAATTTTATTCAATTTTGAAAAAATTTAATAGAGTTTTTTTTAGAACCAATAAAAAGTTTTAATAATAGGGACAGATCAATTTTTGAATGTGTGGGGCGTTTGATGCACCCTTATATATATATATATATATATATATATATATATATATATATATATATATATATATATATATATATATATATATATATATATATATATTATATATATATATATATATATATATATATATATATATATATATATATATATATATATATATATATATATATATATATATATATATATATATTAAGATTATTATTATTATTATTAGAGTGGACCTTAAAGCAACTATTTTTTTAGATGTCTGCTCTCAACATCTCGATGTGTTCTATATAATAAAATAATACTAGAATTAAAAAATTTTTGAAAAAAAATTATTTTGAGTAATAGCTCAAGACTCTTAAACATCAGACAGGTCCCAATAATTATCAAAAAAGAAATTCTTCAAAAGTACATGTTGGATTTCAAAATAAGCGAACTTATATAAAAAAAAATTTAAAACAATCATCGTTTATAAAAAAACATCAAGGAAAAAAAAAACTATAATAAAATTTTTTTGAAAAAATGCATATTTTGATTTTTAAGTTTAAAAATGTCGTTTTCTGGGCAATGAAATCTATCATAATAATTTTTTTATAAAATGATTATTTTTAAAGATGTTATTTAATTTCGCTTCTTTTGAGACCCAACATAATATACTTTTGAAAAAATATATATTTTTGATAATTATAGACTCATCTGAGGTTCAAAGGTCTTGGGTAACCTCTAAAAAATTTTTTTTTTTGGGTGAGAGCAGACATTTTAAAAAAACATTGTTTTAAGGACCACTCTAATACATACATACATACATACATACATACATACATACATACATACATACATACATACATACATACATATATACATATATGTATGTATGTATATATATATATATATATATATATATATATATATATATATATATATATATATATATATATATATATATATATATACATATATATATATATATATCTATATATATATATATATATATATATATATATATATATATATATATATATATATATATATATATATATATATATATATATATATATATGTATATATATATATGTATGTATGTATATCAATAACACCTTAAAACACTTTATTGCATTTCTAAAATAAATTTATTTTAGAAATAAAATATTTTATTTTAAATATGTATTTTAAGCAAACAAATCTTACCAAAAGATTAAAACTAATTAATTAAAAACTTTTAAATTTTTTTTTTTCAAGGTTAAATTATATGAAAAATAAATAATATAAAAAAGACATTAACAATTTATTAAATTTCAAACATTTTCCAATATTTCAGAGTATAACCTAGAGAAATCTGCAGTTAAAGGTAAGATCTTATTTTGCTTTAATTTTTTATGTATCTCTTAAATATATGATATAGGTATAATTTATTGAATGAGCATTTTTATTTTCAGCCCTTTTGGTTGACTTAAAGCTTTTTTTTTTATGTTTATTAAACATGTACTCAAGCTTAGGTCAAAGTTTTTATTTAAATTAATGATAACATTTTTATTTCACTCTTTGTTGTTATAACACCTAACAAACGCTAACAAAATAAAGTAATTTTAAATGGATAACTTCGCAATAGTACATAAATGGAATACTATTTATAGGAGTGATACTATACAAATTTGAGTTCATTTAGTAGCACATATGGGAGTAGGACATGTTGAATTTTTAAGATAAACTGTACTTTTTCAAATTTAGAAAAAAGTTTATAGAAAAAACATAACTTTTTTCATTTTTTTTTAAAGTGATGTTTTCATAAAGGAAATTATTTTAGTGCTAGCTTGGTAAATTTTAATTTTACTTATTTTAATTATTAACAATAATGTGTTGGTATTTATAAAAATGCAAAAGAAAAAAGAAGCTTTACAAAGAATTCTTTAGATATAGGGGGCAGGAGATGAGGTAACTCAAGTTAGAAATAATAGGAACTCAAGTGTAACTGAGCTTCCACTTTCCTGCACTCTTACCTCTGCCGCAATCAAAAAAGTTTTCTCTCCTATGGATGTTCTTAACTGGACTTATCTGATGCAATTAAAAGTTGTGTCAAATTGTTAATTAAAGCTACAAGCCATTTTTACACACATGAATATAGAGAATCATATATATGTGTGTTCAGCTTGTCAGTAGATATTTAATGTCAAGAAATAGAAGCAAAAAAGATTTAGTAACATTTTTAAAACTGCAGGGGTAGTAGCTAAAGACTTTGAAAGTTTTTGAAATAATTAAAAACTGCAGTTTTACTGTTACTTATTTATTTTCTTCTACAGGGGTTAAGGGTCTCCTTTTTTGATAAATAAAGTGTACAATTGCAGAGGGGAAGAAGTCACTAAAAAGGTACAGACAAAAGGAGTCTTAAGTCAGTTATTATACTGTGTATATACTTTATATTAGAGATGCCACAAATATACAGCGACTATTCAGTGTTTGGCGTAATTAACTACTTTTTTTATAATTCAGAATTTAGCCAAATATTGCAAACTATTTGACCAAAAATGGAATTCCAGATTGTAACAAAAAAATACTTAAAAAAGGATTAGATATAACTATTTTTTATTTTAACAAATAATTAGCATATTTGATATGATTTTTTTCTTTAAGATCTTTACTTCTAACACGGCTTCAAGCAACCACTATTAGAGTTGGAAGTTACTGACTTTAATGATTGCAAAAATTAGGAAAACAAGATGAAGGAAGTGAATTCCAATGGACTGATGTTTGAGGAAAAAAAATTGGTGAATAAGAATTTTTGGAGCACTGTCACAGTAAAAGGATGAGACTTTATTGAATGGTGAGTAACACAAAAATGAAATTTAGTAGATGGCGCAAGAGATGCTAGCTCTTTAGAACAGTAGTATTTATAGTATTTATAGAAAAGAGAAAGTGAAGCAACATTGTCACAATGTGATAATGGTTGGAGGTTGTTAGGTCCAACTATGTCAACAGTGAGTTTTAGCTCCTTATCTAAAAGAAGATGGGCATCATTAGAAAATCTGTCCCAGATATGGCAACAGTATTCCATATAAGGGCAGAGATTTATGAGGTTTATAGAGATAAAGAATAAATCTTGAGTAAAAAAGTGGCAAGCATGATAAAGAGATGCAACCTTAGCAGATGCTAATTTTGCAATGGATTTGATATATGGTTTCCAAGATAGATCGGAAGTAAGAGTTAATACTAGAAGATGAAAGGTAGATGACTCATCAAGTTCATTACCGTTCATAAATATAGAAGATCTAGATGATTGTGATAATGATTAGCCCCATGCTGTGTTGGTGCTTTAGTATTCGAGTATTCGAAGTAGTGGCTATTCGATATTCTGCAAAGTCACTTCAGATAACATCTCTAATATAAATATATGTCTAATAAATCATCCAGTAAAAGAAAAACAATTGATACATTTCAGCACAGCTGAAATTTGCAAACTTTGATTTTAAATGATCCAATTGGAGCTAAACAATTAATATCATTAGTCATCAAGACAATGAAAAGGTCGCCTTATTGTGTCATAAGACTCAGCCAAAACACCAGTGGCAAATAATATATTTAAAAAATTGGCCTATATAGGGCATTTATAATGTATATATATTAAGGTGGTGCGTGTGCACACGCACCTAAGTCATAGTAATAGTAAAAATACAAATACCTTAGTGTATCTACCTTGCATAAAATGTACATATATTGGCTAAGGGTTTAGATAGATATCATCTAAAAAATGAAGAACCTTTACTCTGGAGTTCCTAATAAACTTCTGTCTCCCCCCCTCCCTGTTTATTAGTTTTTGGATATTTTTCCCACCCACCCTGAGCTTATTAAACCCCCCCCCCCCTTCCTGTTTATTAGATTTTGACTGAAATTCCCACCCATCTATTTATTTTATTGTTAATTATTGATTTTTGGGTATAAAATGGAGGCTGTCACCAATATAAAAATAAATTGAATATAAGTTTGTTTTTACATCATTATTTTAATTAAAGTTTACTTAGGATAACTAGACCCATGCTTTCTAATATTTGATCAGATTATGCATTCAATAACATCTTTAGAACTTTATTAAAATAAAATTTGTAACAAAAACATTGAAATGTATTTTAAATATATATATTTTTAATAAAATATCAATATGCAACATTAGACACTTAAAATAATACTATTTAGTACCTAGTTTAGGACATATTCATAGTTGTAGTAATATAGTATGTCTCCTGTACATTTATGCTGGTTTTGTATTTTTTAATGAAAGTGAATTGATAATGAAAAAATGTTTCTTGAATACAATTTTAAAGCATAGTGAAAAATTTATTTTTGTATGTTTTATAAATGTATATTACAAACTTAGTATATAGTTTTTTAGAAGTTAAATTAACCCTTTGAGCGAGTAATAAAACTTAAACGCCGTACTGAACTAAAAAAAAAATAAAATCGAAAAACAACTATTTTGAATTTTAGTTTTTTTTTGTGTAGTTTTTAAAAGAATTTAAGAAATGCGATGTATTTAATTCATAGCTGTTGTGTGGTAATTTGAAAAGCATCAAAGGCACAATCCAACACAACATGACTGACACTGCCAACTGGTGCAAACACGGGTTTGGTGCCCAGCTACACTTTTTTTTTTTTCTTGAACCAATTTTGACAAGGTATGACCATATGTGACCATAAATGACCATATAAAGGATTGTTAATCATTGTGTGTTGAGGAAGTGGATATGGTACAATTGTACTTCTTGCCACTTTCATATCCCTAGATGTTCGTCATTTTGTTACTACTTTTACTGGTTGATACCCTCCAGCTAAACTTTCCACAATTTCCATCATAAAACTTATTCTAGACATAGGCTTACGTTCAATAGTGTTAAGCATATACAATAAGTAGCTGGTTAGGGATAGAGATATCTAAAAATATCTAGATATATAAAAGTTGAAAATGGTCACGATTAAAGTGAGTAACAAACCAGGGAGTAAAATCAACAACACCAAGGAATGCCTTTATTTCTAAAAGATTTGTTTTTCCTTGCTTTATCCATACATTTTTTTTTTTATTATCTTCGCTTCCAACAAGGCTGCAAGCAACCACTAATTAGTGTTGGAAGTTACTGGAAGAGAAAAGATGAAGATTGTAGAGCAAGATAACGATTGACAGACGACTTAAAAGATTGCAAATTGTATGAATCAGTAAAGCAAGATGAAAGAAGCGAATTCCAAAGTACTGATGTTCGAGGAAAAAAATTAGACAAATAAGAGTTTTTGGAGCACTTAAAAACAGGATGAAAAAAAAAAAGAAAAAGGATGAGACTTAATTGAATGACGAATAACACGAGAATGAATTTTAGTAGATGGCACAAGAGACACTAGCTCTTTAGAGCAGTGCCCATTATAGTATTTGTAGAAAAGAGAAAGAGAAAAAACATTGCGACGATGTGACAGAGGTTGAAGGTTGGCTGCAAGAGCAGGTCCAACTATGTTTACAATGCGTTTTTGCACCTTGTCTAAAATAGAAAGGGCATCATTAGAAGATCCGCCCCAGATATGGCAACAGTATTCCATACAAAGCCGAATTTGAGATTTATAGTTCTCAATAAAGAGAACTTTAGCAGATGCTAATTTTGCAACGGATTTGATATAAGGTTTCCAAGAAAGATCAAAAGTAAGAGTTAATCCTTGAAGATAAAGGGTAGGAGACTCATCGGGTACATTACCGTTCATAAATATAGGAAGGTTTAAATTATTGCGATAACGATTGGCCGAAAAAAATTGAGTTTTATCTGAATTAAAGTTCACCAGCGACTGTGAGCCCCATGCTGTAGCAGAAGTGAGATCCTTTTCAAGCTCAAATGCCCCCTGCAAGCAATCAGAGGGAGTTGGCTTCTTATCGTGACAAGAATAAATGGTAGTATCATCAGCGAACAATGCCACCTTAGATGTGAGAATATCTGGAAGATCGTTAATGTAAATTAAAAAGAGTATAGGGCCAAGGATTGAACCTTGAGGAACCCCTGAGGTTACAGAATAAGAAGATGAGTGCTGTCCATCAAGAACAACTTTTATACTACAATTGGAAAGAAAGGATTCAATAATCTTAAAGATGTTTCCAGATACACTGTAAGAAGAAAGCTTATGGAGGAGACCAGCATGCCAAACTTTATCAAACGCTTTAGAAATGTCAAGAGCAATGGCCTTAAACTCTCCACTTTTATCTAATGCGCGATAAAACCTATCGGTTATTACTGATAGCAGATCAGCCGTAGAACGAGAAGATCGAAATCCATATTGATGATCAGAAAGTAGGTTATGAGATTCGAGATGAGTGATTAAATGTTTGTT